TATTCACAAGACCCACAGCTGTTTCTCAATGGACTGTGACATTTGAGAAGTACTGCTATGCTTAATCTCATGTAATCCCAAGGTCCTACTGTGAAGGAAGCATACTGCTACCACAGTGACTGTTCCTATGGGTCTGGACTTCTATTTTAAGTTGGGTAACCATTTATCATCCAAATTAAAAGCACATTTCAGAGTGAAAGGATCACAATGATGAATTATGCTTGGATGATATGTCTAGACCAGGACATGTGGTCAGTCCTCTAATTATAAGGTGTATACAAAGGTAGAATCTTAACTCTTCAGCTTGCTGTAATGTGCACCTCAGATCCCAGTTACTCTGCACTTACTCATTATTCTGCCCATAAGCCTTCACGAAGGCGGCTCCCTCTTCCCACCATGCTCCGAAGAAGACCTACTTGCCTTTCAAACCTCAACACAGGCCACACCGCCGCAGGAAGTGGTACCAACCCTATTTCTGCCAAAGCACTGTTCACATCTCGTAATAAGACTCACTGACCTCTGTCTCTGTGAATGAGCTGTTACCTCCTTGTGTCACTTCCGGATTTCGTCCACTGAAGCACAATACTTAGAATCTACTAAAGACATGCTGAATGATGAAGATGAAAAAACTTTAAAAGTTCAGAGAAACCTAGGCGGTGGCCTCCTCCTATCTACCTAGTAAAATGCGTGGACCCAAGAGACTCTCAAATGCTGACAGAATAGCTCACAGTCCTCAGCTCCCCCTCCCAACTACCACTGTGCTTCCTCTCTCGGTGATTGACATCCCATCCTTCCACTTTCACAAGCCAGAGATCCAGAAGTCGTCCTGGACTTCTCTCTCTTCCTCACCCCCACTTCCTCATCCCTTGCCTGAGATTCCACAAACAAAATGGAACAGGATTGGAACTGGGGCTGACCTCAAGGCATAGACACATTAATAGTTAAGCAACAATAATATTTACAGAAGACTGTAAGATACAATCAGACAGTACAGAAGATTTGCCAGAGAGAAAGGACAATCTTCCAGTATGAGTCCAGGAGAAACTGGCATAGGGGAGAGACATTACGCTCACGTGGGACGTTAATGAATTGGCCAGCTACCCTTCCTGTGGGATAGTGGTCTCCCAGTTCAGAGGTCAACACACACCCACCTCCAGGCCACAGGGGAGCCCCACCTGGCATACCACCCTTCTAGAAACAGTGCTCTGGTCCCGGGATGACCCAAAGGACATGGAGCTCAGGACACTGCCTAGAATTCTGGGATGCACACTTACTCTCTCGGTCAGGTTGGTGTGACAGAGGCTGTGCCCAAATGTGAAGCCTGCCAACTGCTGTGGCCATTCTGCCATCCTGGGGAAAACTAGCCCTTGGGTAATACAACACACAGAATGAAAAGATGAAGACATGAAAAGTGAAAAATGAAATGAAATCAGGTCCTCAAAACTATAACTGAATGGCTGAATTAAACCAACTCTGAAGCCTGATCTGCCTCTGGAATTTCTAGTTACATGAGCCACTAAATCTCTAGTTTATAGTGTAAACCAGTTAGACAGCTGAGTTCCACTTTTTTTTTTTTTATTATTTTTTTAAAGGAGGGCACCTTAACACATGAATGGGGTGAGCAAAAAAAGAGATAGAAAAATAGTTGGGCAGCAGTGACCAGAGAATTCATGTAAAGTAGTAAGATCACCCAGCTGGGTGCAGTGGCTCACACCTATAATCAATCCCAGCACTCTGGGAGGTGGAGACCCTATTCCTTCTCAAGAGCAGCTCAATGCCCTTCTTCATTCTCTGAATTACTATAAAAGACCTTGCCACATGCACCACGTAACTCAGTACTTAATTACACATCTTGTAATATGCCCAGTTCTTTCTTAGGCCTTAGCTATCTATTATACACAAGGGTAAGGATGCTTCAGTTATCTTCCTGGATATCTATAGCAGTAGCTGAAATAGTTGGCTTCACCAAACATAAGCCAGCTTATCAATAAATATTTTATAAACAGGCCAGGAGTGGTGGCTCATGCCTGTAATCTCAGCACTCTGGGAAGCTAAGGTGGGCAGACCACTTGAGGTCAGGAGGGCAAGACCAGCCTGGCCAAAGTGGTAAAACCTTGTCTTTACTAAAAAATACAAAAATGAGCTGGACGTGGTGGTGCACGCCTGTGGTCCCAGCTACTTGGGAGGCTGAGGCAGGAGAACTGCTTTAGTCCAGGAGGCGGCGGTTGCAGTGAGCGGCGACTGCGCCAGTGTACTCCAGCCTGGGTGACAGAGCAAGACTCTGTCTCAAAAAAAATAATAATAATAATTAATAAACAAATCTTTTAAAATACTTTTCAAAGATTTCATGTGTAGAACTTGTTTTTGATATTAGTGTAATTTTTTTTAAAACTTAATGTTTTAAATATCCCCTAATTATCTTACTATCCCTTAGCAAAATATACCTCTCCCTTCACCCCCAAAATAATCAATGAATTAAGGAGTTCATCTTGCAGTCTACAATAATGTGTTTAATTTGCTCTAAGAAATAAGATAATTCACACCTTACAACTAAAAATTGGATCAAAAAACTACTAAAAAAGGCTGGGCGCGGTGGCTCAAGCCTGTAATCCCAGCACTTTGGGAGGCCGAGGCAGGTGGATCACGAGGTCAAGAGATCGAGACCATCCTGGTCAACACGGTGAAACCCCGTCTCTACTAAAAATACAAAAAATCAGCTGGGCATGGTGGCGTGTGCCTGTAATCCCAGCTACTCAGGAGGCTGAGGCAGGAGAATTGCCTGAACGCACGAGGCGGAGGTTGCGGCGAGCCGAGATCGCGCCATTGCACTCCAGCCTGGGTAACAAGAGCGAAACTCCGTCTCAAAAAAAAAAAAAAAAAAAAAAAAAAAAAACTACTAAACATTACCACTGTTAGCATGCATAAACTATAACCTGTGAATACTCTACAGTCCTTAAACAATGCTGAAGACTGAGTTAAGGCTCTTGAGATCTAAAAAACACAAGAGCAAAGGAAAACCTTTAATGGAAAAACATTCACAACAAAAGAAATGGAAATCCATGTATGGTGGCCTTAGTCCCAGTATTTTGGGAGGCTAAGGGGGGAGGATGGCCTGAGCCTGGGAGTTGGATGCTGCAGTGAGTGAGCTATGATGGTGCCCCTCACTCAGGCCTGGATGACAGAGCCAGACCCCATCTCTTAAAGAACAGGAATAAGTGCGGAAAACATTTTACTAAACAAGCATCAGTCCACGTTTTAAGAAGGAAAATACCACCACTAACACACCACCACAAGCTGCCTCTCCCTGTGCATCTCGCTCCCACCAGCCATCTGCCACCCTAAGGCCTGCCTCTCCTCTAGGCACTGTTGAGGCCCTCTACACCTCTCAACTGGGTCTCTGCAACCATCTGCCTCTGCTCTCACCCCTCACCCTCCAAACTGCTTGTGGCCACCACAGACCTGTCTCTCAACCAAACCTTACTATTCTGGTACCCAGGAGAGGCCTTTGAAGTCTCCCAGAACTTTTAAGGCTTAAAGGTTCTAGCAGAGCCTACAAGAGGCACCCATCCCACCCACCTTCCCAGCACCACAGCCCCTACAAACTCTCCATCCCGCAAAGGCACTTCCGCAACACCACACACGCCACATGTGCCTGCTTTGGGTGCCCTTCTCTTGGGCCCCTGCCGGCCTGGCTGACGCTGCACACTTACAGAACTCAGTTCCAAAGGCATCTTTGTGAACTATTCTTTTCACGAACATGAGCCAAGGTGTCCCTGGACTCTCCTGTGACAGGCTCTCCAGCTTCTTTCCCACACCTGACTGTGGGCTTCTGAATCTGTCCAACGTGGTATGTCTTTCATGCATGTGTGTGTCAATAAATATTTACTGAGCACTTACCACTTTCTAGGACCAGGGGCCTAGCAATGAACAAAGCAAACAAAAATCCCTGCCCTCACCAAGCTTAAATGGGGGAGACAAAGTGAAGAAGACAAGCACATCAGGACACCGGATACATAAGGTATCAGCTGTAAGGACAGGGTGACAAGTGTGAAGGAGGGCACGATTTTACAGGTGGGTAAAGTGCGCCTGTCTGAGACGAGGGCACAGGCACTCGCTGAAAGTGGGGGAGCAAGCCACAGGGACAGAGGAGGCGAGCGTGTCTACAAGCAGAGGGTCTGGGGAGACGAGGTGTTCCCCTTCATTTTTGTACCCACAATACCCGGCACATAACAGAGCTCAATAAATAACTAGTGGGTGAATGGTGACTTTGGCTCAGACACCTAAGATCACAAAGGTGGGGGAAAACACAAACTAAGTGCTGCAGCCAACTGAACAGTTCTTTCCAGGTTCACCAGTGACACATAATCAGGCTCTCTACTGGAAAGGTGGGCTGCGCCAGCTCTTGGATTTGGGGGCAGCTGCAATGGCTCTAAGCAGGCCTGCGAAGACCACCGGCATGCCCACTAACTAGGCCTGGAAGAGCTTTAGTACACGGAGCCACCACAGCCAAGCACCTGCTGGTAACTCTGGTCAAGGCATTTTCTCTGCATTGGTAACCGTCCTACGATCTCCAGACTATACCTGTTGAGAAAGAGCCCAAGACACTGCGAGAATGTGATGAAGTTGTCAGGAAAAAAAAGAGAGGGAGGGATAAAGCGCCCAAGAAAATAAAGGAAAATAACTGACATGTGGCATGAGTCAGTCACCCGGATTCCAGGAACTACGCAACAGAGATCAAGGCAGCACTGAAGAACCTGACGAGAAGCTTAGATGTCACCCATGCAGTCTAAATGCGGAAATGACAATCAATCTGAACACTATGGGAAGCAGCCACCTCTTCTTAATCAGCTCTCATTACTACTTCTACAGAAGGCAAATCTGTCCCTCGTAGTCTGGCATGCTGTGTTCTTGAACTTCTGAGTTAAGGCTCTTGAGATCTAAACTATTATAGACAAACCAAAGAACACCATAAAGCAGTCCTCAAAACAGTGAATGATAACCAGCTGGTCCCTGTCAATTAACCTATCCAATGGACAAACACCTGAGTGCCTAGCATGCTAGGCAGCCGGGAGGCCGGAGCCAGACCACACTCTACTCAAGAAAGCCTTCTGGGCCTGACAGATCAGTCAGGACAGCGGCTGCTCCGGTTCATCCATGTAATGTTCACCTCTGCAGAGGGCACTATCTCCCCACATCTTCCTTCCTCGACTCTCAGGACAGGGCCCACACAGGCCCTGAACACAGCTGACTGCCTCCCCAAGAAGGACAAGGCATCTAGGAAACCGAAGTCCACAGGGCCCTCAAAGCTCACAGTGCACACACCATACTGTGATGTATTTCCCTTCGCACAGAAAAGACATCCACTGCTTAATATGCTAACTTAAATCAATGTTTCCATCCAAAAGATGCAAGGGCAAAAAGGCACAACTGCAAGGGGTTTCTGTCAACCTTAAAAAGCAAAAACCAGCCAGCGCAGTGGCTCACGCCTATAATCCCAGCACTTTGGAAGGCCGAGGAGGGCAGATCACCTGAGGTCGGGTGTTTGAGACCGGCCTGACCAACATGGAGAAATTTTTAGTCTCTGCTAAAAATATAAAATTAACCGGACAGCCGGGCGCGGTGGCTCAAGCCTGTAATCCCAGCACTTTGGGAGGCCGAGGCGGGTGGATCACGAGGTCAAGAGATCGAGACCATCCTGGTCAACACGGTGAAACCCCGTCTCTACTAAAAATACAAAAAATTAGCTGGGCATGGTGGCGCATGCCTATAATCCCAGCTACTCAGGAGGCTGAGGCAGGAGAATTGCCTGAGCCCAGGAGGCGGAGGTTGCGGTGAGCCGAGATCACGCCATTGCACTTCAGCCTGGGTAACAAGAGCGAAACTCCGTCCAAAAAAAAAAAAATTAACCGGACATGGTGGCGGATGCCTATAATCCCAGCTACTCGGGAGGTTGAGGCAGGAGAATCGCTTGAACCCGGGAGGCAGGGGTTGCAGTGAGCCGAGATCACACCACTGCACTCCAGCCTGAGTAACCAGAATAAAACTCTGTCTCAAAACAAAAACAAAACAAAAAAAGCAAAAACCAGGCTTGTTTACCATGTGCTAAGAGATGAGAGACAAACTCCAAACACAGCTCTGGTAACTGTGTCTAAGACTAGCTCATTGCTAGGATGTTGCTACAGTATCATTATGTGTGAAGTTCAAGTCATAGCCAACTAAGTTTCCAGCCAAAACTGAAGAAAATGCTTTTCTAAAATTGGAAAAAAAAAAAAAAAAAAAAAGGCCAGCACAGTGGCTCACACCTGTAATCCCAACACTTTGGGAGGCTGAGGCAGGCAGATCACTTGAGGTCAGGAGTTCAAGGTCAGCCTGGCCAACATGGTGAAACCCCATCTCTACTAATAATACAAAAATTAGCCAGGCATGGTGGCACGTACCTGTAATCCCAGCTACTCGAGAGGCTGAGGCCAGAGAATCGCTTGAACCCAGGAGGCAGAGGTTACAGCCAGTTGAGACCTTGCACTGTACTCCAGCCTGGGCGACAGAACAAGACTCCATCTCAAACAAACAAACAAACAAAACTTGCCCTTCCCCACTACGTAAACAAGGCGAAGAAAAGTTTGTGCACACTGTTATGGCACAGAAGAGCAAAGAGGTAAGAGGCAAGAGAAAACCAAGTGTAATTATTTCAGGACCAGATTGTGATTAGAATTTCCTCACCTGACGAATCCATGACCAACAGCAGCAAAAAGGAGCAAGAATTCCTGATGGCAAATTGGCTTGATGCTGTGCACACATCCTCAGACATGCTGACAGCCCGGCTTCAGGATGAATTAGAAAGTTCCAGTTCTCTGGGACATCAGATGCTCACAGCTACACTGAGCTGTGGTGGAGTGTGCCAATTCCATGCTGTCCACAGGTGCCCTATTTCAAGATGTGGGATGCAGAGCACCAGCCAGAGCAGCTCTTAAGGCTTTGGGGAACACATCTGTACTTATATTTTAACTTATATATATATATATGTTTTTTGCAACTTATAAATCCCAACACAGGCCCTGGAACAGATCAAGTGCTGCGTAAACGCTTGTTTAAAAGGCATTAACCATTTAGTTAATGAATGCCAAACCAAACTGAAATCTCATTCCGAAGACACAAGAAGACAGATCTTCAAAGCAGCAAAATGTCAGGATTTCTCATCTGCTCAGAACTGTTCCCCAACTCCACTAACAGCTAAAATTCATTACTATCACACTCAGAGTGAAGGGCACAATCCGTATTTTTGTTGTTCACAGCTAACCCAGACTGGAGATGTTAAAACACTTTGTCCAAAATATGATTTGGTTATTGCTATTCATGGGGAAGTGCTCAAGAAGTTAAAAGGAAAAACAAAGCTGCACACAAAGCCGTGCAGAGGATCTGAAACCTGAGCCTGGCTGAAACGACCTGGGGACCTACTCGCAGGGATCCTTACTCAGGGTCTCTGGGTGGCACCCAGAGTGCGAGGTGATTCTGGTGTTAGAAGGGGGCATTCAAGGATCACAAACCTAAAACGCCATTAATTTCAATGATTCCAAATTTCTAAAGTTTACTCTCAAAAGTGCTAAAGGAAACATTTAAAATATTAACAGAAGCCACTTCACAGTCATGGGACAGAAATAAGTTTTTCTTAATATTTTCTCTATTTTCTAGGAATATCATCGGGGACAAACGCTTGTTTTTTAAACGTGCCTCCCGCTCAAAATAAAAGGAATAATGTCCCTAGATGACCTTCTCTAACTACTCTATCCAATTATCACTGAGGACACTGAAGGGCTACTTGCCTCACATTAATCTGTCTCAGAAGTCCCCAAAAGAAATACCCTACTTCCCCTCCCCCCAAAGTTGTGAGGCTTAAGATAGCAAGGTGAACAGAGAGTAGATTCCCAGCTATGGATGAGAACCCAAAGAATCAAACCCCTGACAACGGTCAAAGGATCTCAATAAGACCCCTGCATAATCATCTCAATCCAGCAATCTTTTTTTGAGACAGTTTCACTCTGTTGCCTAGGCTGGAGTGCAGTGGCACAATCTCAGCTCACTACAGCCTCTGCCTCCCAGCTTCAAGTGACTCTCCTGCCTCAGCCTCTCAAGAAGCTGGGATTACAGACATGCACCACCCTATCTGGCTAATTTTTGCATTTTTAGCAGAGAAAGGTTTTACTACGTTGGCCAGACTGGTCTCAAACTCCTTGCCTCAAGTGATCCACCCACCTCGTTCTCCCAAAGTGTTGGGATTACAGGCGTGAGCCACGTGCCTGGCCTCAAACAGCAATCTTAACCCAGAGTGTTGCTACCAACTTAGCTCAATCTTGAGCTTGGACTACCAAGTTCTTTACCTCTCCTCTCCAGACTCCTGGCTAACACTTCACCCTACAGACCATTTCAACTACAAAGGTATCTGTTTCCCAAACAGGCTGCAGGCTTTGAGACTGTTCCTCTGAACATTCTCCTCCATATGCCCTTGTCCTTGTGCTTCTCTGCCCAGAAAACTCCAGCTCAAATGTCACCGTTCTAGAAGAGATGTCTTCCCAGCTTGGCCTAACATTCAGTTCCACCAGCCCCCTTTTTCAAAACACCTTATATCTAACCAACTCTTTGGTCATGCAACTCCACCTCCACTGTACCCACTGAGTCAAAAGTCCAAGGACCCGCCGGGCGTGGTGGCTCACGCCTGTAATCCTAGCACCTTCGAAGGCTGAGGTGGGTGGATCACCTGAGGTCAGGAGTTCAAGACCAGCCTGGCCACGATGGTGAAACCCCATCTTTAAAAAAAAAAAAAAAAAAGTCCAAGGACCCTCCCCGAAATAATCTCCTTATCGTCACTGTGACCCCTGTTAGTCTATTCTTCATGGGGCAGAGTATGATCCCAAATGGCAATCTGATTATTGTGAAACCCTGTACCATCCCCTCTTCCACACTTTTCTCAGGATAAAGACAGTAACATCTAACAGAGGCTGCAAGGCTGGATGGAGTGTGTATCCCTCCCCTCCAGCTCTGTGCCCAAGACACACAGGTCCTTGCTGAGTTCCCCGAAATGCTCCAAATTTCCCCCAGCCAAAGGCCCACCGCACATGCTGTTCCCACTGTCTCATGCTACAAACGCGTCACTTCCACAGGAACCGTTCTTTGACTTCAGGTTGCGCTCCCTTCCTTTGGAAAACATCTCTCAGTTTGCAACGATTTGTACCTAACTGTGATTATCTCCTAGACCCATAAACTCCTCCGGGAGAGAAACAATGCCTGTTTTTGCTCATCACTCCATCCACAGTGCCTGGTACACAGCAGCCAGTCAGTAACTATTTGCTGAACGAATGAATGTTCTTGACAATGCTGTTCACACTTCTGTTACAGGAATTACCACCCTAAAACTGGATGCACCCAGCAGTGAGCCTGCTTCTTTCCCTCGATATCTTGTGGACTTCTAAAGCACAGCTCTATACTCCTACTGTCTGGCCACCAAAAATCTCTGAACATTCTCAAAAGATACAAAGTTCTTCATACGTGGTTCTGAAAAAACTGTCTAATATTCTGCAAATTAATTCCAAACAAAATAGTAAACCACACTTGGAAGCCCTGATTTTGCATTTTATTACAAGTCAGAAGTAGTTAAATGTGGTTAATTCTCGGGAGTGGGACCTGAGTTGGAAGTGATTTATTTTTTGCCACTGCAGTACTTTGATGAAACAAAGTGATGAAACTTTGATAAAACAAAGACAAAAAACATGATTTTAAAGAAGATGGAGAAAAATTCAGGTTAATTACCCAATTCCTCATTATTCCCTAGGGCAGGTGACTTACCAACTCCAACTAATGAAAAGTCTGTCCTCTTGTAAATCTAGTGCAAAGGCAATGAATGGACAAGAATTTGAATGTGAATCAGACCTCCTTTTGTGTGTGTGTGTGTGTTTTTTTTTTTTTTTTTTTTTTTTTTGAAAGAGTTTCGCTCTTTCGCCCAGGCTGGAGTGAAGTGGCATGATCTGGGCTCATGGTAACCTCAACTTCCACCCCCACCCCCACCGGGTTCAAGTTATTCTCCTGCCTCGGCCTCCCGAGTAGCTGGGATTACAGACACCCACCACCACATCCAGCTAACTTTTGTATTTTTAGTAGAGAGAGGGTTTCACCATATTAGCCAGGCTGCTCTCGAACTCCTGACATCAGGTGATCCACCCAACTCAGCCTCGCAAAGCGCTGGGATTTTAGGCATGAGCCACTGTGCCTGGTCAAGACCTCCTTCTACAATATGATCATCAGAGAGCATAACTGCTATTAAGGGGGAGAAAGTCTTCAAAACATTTCTTTTCCTTTCTTTTTTGACACAAGAGTCTCGCTCTGTCACCCAGGCTAAAGAGCAGTGGCACAATCTCGACTCACTACAATCTCCACTTCCCATGCTCAAGCGATCCTTCCACCTCAACCTCCCAAGTAGCTGGGATTACTGGAAAGCACCAACATGCTCAGCTAATTTTTGTATTTTTTGTAGAG